TCTGGACCTCACCCCGAAGGTGCACTTGTTCGAATTTAACCTCAGTTTGTACGTCTTCAACCTATCAAACAGCTTTTGTATATGATCAAGATGTTCTTCTTCAGTTTGAGACTTGGCTATCATGTCATCGACGTAAACCTTTATCTCATGGTAAATCATGTCATGGAACATAGCTACCATAGCTTGCTGATAAGTTGCCCCAGCATTCTTCAACCCAAACGGCATCACCTTGTAGCAGAAAGTGCCCCACTGTGTAACAAAGGTTGTCTTCTCCATGTCTTCAGGTGCCATTTTGATCTGATTATAACTAGAGAAATCGTCCAAGAAGGAAAAGACTTTGTGTTGTGCGGTGTTGTCAACCAGAACATCAATGTGGGGAAGTGGGAAGTCATCCTTGGGGCTTGCCCTGTTCAGGTCTCTGTAATCCATACACATTTGTACTTTACCATCTTTCTTGGGTACTGGAACCACATTAGCAACCCACTGCGGATAGGAGGTGACAGCTAAGAACCCTGTGTTGAACTGCTTCATAACATATGATTTAATCTTCTCTGACATCTCAGGGCGCATACAACGGACCTTTTGCTTTACCAGAGGGAAGTCTTCTTTAGTCCGCAAACTATTAACCACTATATCTGTGTCTAGTCCTGACATGTCTTCATATGACCAGGCGAAGATTTCAACATACTCATGCAACATCTGTACCAACCGTTGTTTGACACTAAGCTCCAGATTTGCACCTATCTTAACCTCTTTTTTGTCTTCCTCTGTACCCAAGTTCACTGTCTCAACCGGATCTTCATGAGGCTGTATGGCCCTTTCTTCCTGCTGTAATAGTCTAGCAAGTTCTCCGGGTACCTCACAATCTTCCTCACCTTCGTCCTCGGCTTGGTTGATCGGATTTTCAAAGTCATAATGAGCAGAAGTAGAACTGTTATCAATGGGATCCAGAGTGGATATGGATCTACATTGGGATACGTGAGTGTGTGTAAGAGCATAGTTGTATAGACATAATAAAAGAAAAGAAAGACAGAGAGCGCAAAATTTGTATGCAAACGTCCAATGTTTTATTGATGTCATATGAAAATGAAACATGATAACCCTCACAAATAGAACCATTGTGCCCCGGGTAAGACACATGACTATAGAGTTTATATTGTTTTTAAATTACATATCCGAAAAATCAGAAAGACAATTACTCCTAAACAAAAGTAATTGGTACAAAGTCTTTGGCTGTCCAGTTACTGAGTCCGCCATTGGTAGTCGGGAAGATCTAGCTGTTAATGTCGGAATCACCATCACTGTCTTCAAGCACATTGACCCCAGGATTATTGATGCGTAGGGGAGGTCCTCCAGCCCGAGCGCGATGAATAACCTTTTGAGCACCTGTAGTAAAGCCCAAACCAGATTTGTCAAACTTCTAATGAATAACCAGGAGCTGACCCCAAATGGTAGACCCACCTTCTTCAACCACTGCTCGTGCATCCTTGAGAGAAGCCATCTTCGAGGGAGATTTGGTGACCTTTGGAGGACTGTCGGTAGTTTTTGCTGTAGCCATAATCTGAGGTACCTCTTCAAAGTTTTGGAAAGGAGTCTCGATGAACTCGCCGTCCATTTCCACGTTCCTGAAGGAGTTCAAGTGACTGATCATATACTCCTCTTCACCATGCACAGTGACAATCTTTCCTCTTACTGGGTACTTTAACATTTGGTGGAGGGTAGAAGTAACAGCCCCAGCCTCATGTATCCAAGGGCGTCCCAACAAGAAAGAATATGATGGTTTTATATCCATTATATAGAAAGTGGAGTCGAAGGTCTGGGAACCAATTTTGATAGGGACATCCAGTTCCCCCGTGCACCATCCTCTTCGAACCATCGAAAGCTCTCACTACTATATTGCTAGGCTTCAAGGTCAAGCCTTCGCAGTCCAATCTGTCCAGAGCTTTTTTAGGTAGCACATTCAACGAGGAGCCAATATCTACCAAAACATGGGCCAGAGTCATGCCCCTGCATTCAACGGAAACATGAAGAGCATCATTATGCTTCCTCCCATTTGGTGTCAGATCCGCATTGTAAAAACCCAAACCATTATCGGCAGTCAGACTAGCCACACAATCTTCAAACTGATCAGCAGATGTCTCTTGTGGCACGTGAGTCGTGTTCAGAAACTTAACCAAAGCCTTCACATGGGCCTCGGAACACAACAACAAACCCAACATAGAAATTTTGGATGGGGTCTACCCCAGCTGCTCGACCACGTTGTAGTCGCTCTTCTTTATTATCTTCAAAATTTCTTTCATTTCTTTTTTGGAAGCTTCTGGTAGGGTTACTGAATTAGCCTTTGTCAGGACAGGCTCAATCAAAATGTCTTTGCCTCGAGTCTCGGCCGACTCGGTGATGGGAGGGTCAACAGGAGTGATTACTGGAATTGCAGTAGTAGTCTTGGGTGGAACCACAACAGGAATGATCACAAGTCCGGTAACAGTCTTCGGGGGAGAAATTTCAGGGGAGAACACTCTTCCACTTCTTGTTATTTTACTGGTTCCGGCAATATTGACGATGTTGGAATCAGCATTTTCAGCAATCTTGTCTTCAATGGCTAGCATGTCCTACTTTACGCCGTGGTAATAGACGTCGGCCCCATAGTTCCAAGGAACAGCTTTGTCCGAGAAGTATGGGATTGGTCCAGACATGGTTATGATCAACGGAGTCACCTTCAGAACTGATGTAATCCTGACGGGTCTCTTAGCGGAGGCCCTGGGAGGATTGACAGAAATGGTTATGATAGCAATCACTACACCAAATTTGTCTTTTAGCAGCACCCCTACTAAAGCGCTTTTTGTAAAAAGCGCTGGTATAGGTTGCGCTAAAACAAAATAAAAAAACACGCTAAAAAAGCGCTCTTAAAGGGGGGGGTTACAAAAGCGCTTTCAGAAAGCGCTCTTAGAGGCTGGGGTACGAAGGCGCATTTGAAAAGCGCTCTTATAGTGGGGGGGTATGAAAGCGCTTTCTGAAAGCGCTCTTATAGGGGGCTTATGAAAGCGCTTTCAAAAGCGCTGATATAGGGGGTGGGGTACAAGAGCGCTTTTATCCTCAAAAGCGCTGGTATAGCCTTAGTTACGAAAGCGCTTTTCAAAAGCGCTGTCATACCCTCTTTACAATTAAAAAATTTTAAAACAAGAAATCGTTCATTCTCACAAAAGCTTGCATTCTCAGAAAAATCTTGCATTCTCAGAAAACTCACAAAATCGTTTCAAAATCTTGCATTCTCAGAAAACTCACAAAATCGTTTCCAAATCCCTAAGCTTGGAATCGTCTTCAATCGTTTCCAAATCCCTAAGCTTGGAATCGTCTTCTCCGTTCTCAATCGTCTTCTTCGAAAGAAAAAAAGCTTGGAATACTTAAGGATCAAGAGCTTGCTTCATCAAGTCGTCTCCAATATTTCATCATCATCTTCTTCCTAGAGGTGAGTTCATAGTTAAATTTTAGCTTTGAGAGAAAAATCCATGGTTGGGAAGTTAGGGTTTGTGTTGTTGTTGTTATGAACATGAAACTTGATGACGATACATGCTTACTTGTGTGATTTCATGTTGAATGTGTTGTGGTGTTGGTATTATAATTATTTTGGATTATATTGGAATCATGAGATATGTTTGATTGTTGTTGATTCTTGAGAGTTTACATGTGGATTTCACTAATGTTAGAATATGGTTAGCATGTTATGGATTATCGAGTTAACAATAGTTGAATTCTTCTCATCATAGATAAGATGTTTCCTTTTCATGTGATTAATTTGGTTTAGGCCTTATCTGCTATTGGATGTAAATATTGAACTCTTGACTTAGCCTTGAATATTGGTACTCCAAAGTAATCAAAGTTTGTGTGACTTGTGTTGAAACCAAAGATGCATGCAACTTGTGGATAGCCTAAAAACCAAGGATACCTTGCATTTTGTGGGACTAGGGCGATGGCATGAATTTTAAGCATATTCATGTAATAATTTGTGGATAGGATATGCATCACTTTTGGTAGCTTTACAAAATATCTGAGATCATCTACAAAGAAAGTGTGACTTGGAAACTTAGTTTTGTCATGAGCGATACATGTAATATGTCTTTGTTCAATCATGTTTGCAAATTGTCTTCTTAAGCATCTTCAACAATGCAAAATAGTAAAATAGAAATGGAATTTCCTTGTCTTATTCCTCTAGAACAGTTGAAAAAGCTTGTTGCCTTGTCATTAACTAAATTGATAATTTGGTTGAATGAAGTATTGTTGTAATTCAATTGCAAAATATAATATTAAAGCCAAAGTTCTTAAGCATATAGAATAAATAACTCCATTTTGAGTATCAAATGCTTTTTTTTTTATATCAATTTTCATAGCCATGTTTCTTTCAAAAGATTTCTTGTACTATGTCTCATATGAATCCTCTCTGATTCTCTAAGACTATTTTTGGAGCCAATCTAATAAGCTTAACAGTTATGATCTTGCAATAAGTTTAAAGTTTTCTATTGTAAATGTTCCATGAAATTTGGATATCCAAAATAATATTGTTAAAGTTAAAAGTGGGTAGGGTCCAATTTTGTGTAAACAACTGTATAAGTAAGGCTATGACTTATTTATCAATCAATGTAAAACTCAGTATACCTGGTAACTATTCATCAGTAAGATTTGTGATTTTATTTTTCAATGAAAATATGAAAAATATATAATTTTCTCTTACACATATGATATAGACCTCTAGTTATATTTATTAGGATTAGTTCAGTTCATTAAGATTTATTATTTTATTTATTTTTAGTTAGTATTTTTTGAATTTTTAAATTTGAATGTCCTATTTTTAAGAAAAGATTTAGGTTAAAACATAAGCTACCTATTAACTAGTAATTTTAGGAGAAACCAATCACAAACTCCGCCACTGCCGCCTGCATAGGTCTTAAGAACATATTTTCAGTTGGTTACAATACTTCCTTCCTACCACTTCATCAACAAAGGTCATGGCTACGGAATATCCTGAGGCTAACAAGGTTGTCCAGTTTTTCATGATCATTACTGAAAATCGTCAACAAGGAGAGCTTGTAAAACCTTGTGTAAGTCTTTCATTTGTCATGTTAGAAGCTTGCATCATCCCTATACAACATTTTATGTGCTCATTATGCTTATTTGACAGATGTTACCAATAAAGTTTGTGAGGAAACATGGACAAGGTTTACCAAATGTTATATGTCTAAAGACTTCCAATGGAGAAAACTGGAAAATAAATTTGGTGATGAATGATGGCAAAATATGGTTTGGACAAGGTTGGAAGGAATTTGCACAGTATTATTCTCTAGGTTATGGCCATATTCTCTAGGTTGGAAGGTTTTAACGAGAAGATGGCCATAACCTAGAGAATAATACTGTGCAAATTCCTTCCAACCTTGTCCAAACCATATTTTGCCATCATTCATCACCAAATTTATTTTCCAGTTTTCTCCATTGGAAGTCTTTAGACATATAACATTTGGTAAACCTTGTCCATGTTTCCTCACAAACTTTATTGGTAACATCTGTCAAATAAGCATAATGAGCACATAAAATGTTGTATAGGGATGATGCAAGCTTCTAACATGACAAATGAAAGACTTACACAAGGTTTTACAAGCTCTCCTTGTTGACGATTTTCAGTAATGATCATGAAAAACTGGACAACCTTGTTAGCCTCAGGATATTCCGTAGCCATGACCTTTGTTGATGAAGTGGTAGGAAGGAAGTATTGTAACCAACTGAAAATATGTTCTTAAGACCTATGCAGGCGGCAGTGGCGGAGTTTGTGATTGGTTTCTCCTAAAATTACTAGTTAATAGGTAGCTTATGTTTTAACCTAAATCTTTTCTTAAAAATAGGACATTCAAATTTAAAAATTCAAAAAATACTAACTAAAAATAAATAAAATAATAAATCTTAATGAACTGAACTAATCCTAATAAATATAACTAGAGGTCTATATCATAATGTCTTGCAACAGTGGTTTAAAATTATTATGCCTTACAGTGTAGCTTTTTTGGTGAATATCATTATATTATATATCTTTTTTTGAATTTCTTTTCAATATGCTTGAAATAGATAGATCAATCAATGTCTCTAATATTGCTCTTTAGATATTGTTTAACATCTAGCATATGGCTTAGTAGTAGTAAGCTTAGATGCTGAGTTTGTATAGTTAAGAGTGTGAATCTGCTGAAATTAAATGCTGAGTTTGTATAGTGAAGTGAAAATATGGATTAAGGGATAAAATGTGTATAATTGATATTGATATAACTGTAATCATAAATTTTAGTCATTGTATTTTGATATTTGTTGACACATCTACTATACATACAATAAAAATTTTAAACAAGACTATCAAAAATTAAGTTCAAACTTAAAACATCTTTTTATTTAAAAGAGATTTCTTACAATTTTAATTTCATATATTTATCTATCGTTAAGTGAGGTACTTACTAACTTTGTGAATTGAATTCGCCATAGGGGTTACTTGTGAAGAGTGAAAGTTTGACCGTTTTTGTTTAGCTTAATTAAGACATGGATAAGACATGGATGAATTCAAACCGATTGTCGAAAGAGTACGAGAAAGGGGTATGGGAATTTGTTGAGTTTGCGGTTGCGCACTCCAAAGACCCGCTTCGAATGCCGTGTCCTTGCTTGGGTTGCTGTTATGCCGGGGGTAAGGTTGACGGGAATCAGTTGGGATCTCATTTACTACGGTTTGGAATTGATAGAAGTTATACATGTTGGACAATGCATGGTGAGAAAAGTACCGGGAATGCTGAGTCGAGTTGTAATAGGAAGTATGCTTCAAACGACGATTGCACAGACACATACGATTGTGATCGAGTCGAAGAGATTGCAGAAGCGCTTGAAGAAGATCTTGCGGATTGTCCCAAAATGTTTGAGAGGTTGGTAAGCGATGCAGAGAAACCGTTGTATGTTGGTTGTTCAAAATTCACAAGATTGTCTGCGGTGTTAAAGTTGTACAACTTAAAGGCGGACAATGGATGGTCGGATAAAAGTTTCACAGAGTTATTAGCCCTTATGAAAGATATGCTACCAGAGGATAATGTTCTTCCCAATCGAACGTATGAAGCCAAAAAGATGTTGTCTTCTATTGGAATGAGCTATGATAAGATACATGCATGTCCAAACGATTGCGTTTTGTTTCGAAACGAGTATGCAGCGTTGAATGAGTGTCCTAAATGTGGTGCCCCTCGATATAAGAAAAAGTTGTCTCCTGCTAAAGTCTTATGGTATTTTCCTATAATTCCGAGATTTAGACGCATGTATCGTAGTGAGACCGATTCAAGACACTTGACTTGGCATGCAGATGAAAGAATTATTGATGGAAAGTTGCGACATCCGGCAGACTCACCACAATGGAGTAAAGTTGATACTGAATATCCTGAATTTGGAAAAGAAGCAAGAAACCTTCGGTTGTCATTGTCTACTGATGGAATGAACCCGCATGGTATTCAAAGTATCTCGCATAGCACATGGCCTGTGATTCTTATGATTTATAACTTACCTCCGTGGCTATGTATGAAGCGTAAGTACATGATGTTATCTATGCTAATTTTTGGGCCTAAACAACCAGGGAATGACATAGACGTATACTTGGCACCCTTAATCGAAGATTTAAAGTTTTTGTGGGAGAGAGGTGTGGAGGTTTACGATGGGTATAGGAAAGAAAGTTTCAACTTGAGGGCGATGTTGTTTGGAACAATTAATGATTTTCCAGCATACGGAAATCTATCCGGGTACAGCAACAAGGGTCAAAAGGCGTGTCCTGTTTGTGAAGATGAAACCGATACGACACGATTGGCGCTTTGTCAGAAGAATGTCTTTCTCGGCCATCGTAGATTCTTAAATTCTAATCATCACTACCGTGGGTGGAGAAAAGCATTCAATGGAGAGGCCGAACATCGTACAGCCCCGCCTTTTTTGTCAGGTGATCAAATTTTTGAAAAGGTGAAAGATGTGAGCACTCAGTTTGGCAAGCCTTTTGCACATTCAATTGTCAAGGGTGGGTGGAAGAAGAAGTCAATTTTCTTTGAACTTCCATATTGGAAGTCGTTGTACGTAAGACATTTCCTGGATGTTATGCATATTGAAAAAAATGTATTTGACAGCGTTATAGGTACGCTACTCAATATACAAGGAAAGTCTAAGGATGGCGTTAACATAAGGAATGACATGGTAAACATGGGGATGAGAACTGAATTGGGGCCCGTGACGAAAGGAAGACGAACATATCTGCCACCTGCTGTTTACACTCTATCTAGAAAGGAGAAGAAAACATTGTGTAAGTTCCTCAGTGAAGTAAAAGTTCCAGAAGGCTACTCTTCAGATATTAGAAGACTTGTGTCCATGAAAGACCTCAAGTTAAAGAGTTTGAAGACGCATGATTGCCATGTTATAATGGAACATTTTTTACCAATAGGTATACGTTCTATTCTGCCAGAAAAAGTAAGAAGCGCAATAACTAAGCTGTGTTTCTTCTTCAGGTCTATTTGCAGTAAGGTGGTCGATCCCGCGATCTTACCAACATTGCAAAATGAGATAGTTGTTACTTTATGTGATCTTGAAATGTATTTTCCTCCCTCGTTTTTTGACATAATGGTTCATCTAGTCGTTCATCTTGTGAAAGAGACACAACTGTGCGGACCAGCTTATATGAGATGGATGTACCCTGCTGAACGTTATATGAAAATATTAAAAGGGTACGTGAAAAACAGAAGTCGACCAGAGGGTTGTATTGCCGAGCGATACGTTGCTGAAGAAGCGGTTGAGTTTTGTACTGAATATCTGTCAAATGTTCAATCAATTGGACTCCCCAAATCTCATATTGTCGAAAAAAAAGAAGGAAAAAGGCTAATTGGAAATAAAGTTGTGACAGTATCAATGGTCGAACGGGATCAAGTGCACTTGTATGTTCTGCACAATGAGATTGAGGTTGAGCCGTTTGTTGAAATGCACAAAGTTGTTCTCCGAGATTTAAATCCAAATAGAAATGAGAACTGGATAGTACGAGAGCACAATCGAAGTTTCATACCGTGGTTTAGAGATCATATTTATTCAAAGTATCGTTCAGATCCTGCTTCAGTAACAGAAAGGTTGAGATGTTTAGCCTATGGTCCATCTGTAATTGTGCTTTCTTATAGCGCATACGCAATTAATGGATACACATTTTATACCAAAGAACAGGATGATAAAAGTACTATGCAAAATAGTGGTGTTACCTTGGTAGCTGAAGCTATGCACATATCAAGTGCGAATGACTTAAATCCGAAATTTGCAAATTTGTCATATTTTGGGGTTATCGAGCGCATTTTGGTGTTTGATTACGCGAAGTTTCAGATTCCTGTATTTGGTTGCAAGTGGGTTGAAAATAATAGTGGCGTACGAATGGATAAGTCAGGATTTTTGCAAGTGGGTCTCAATAGGGTAGGGTACAAAGATGAGCCTTTCATTCTAGCCTCTCAAGCTAAACAAGTGTTCTATGTCAATGATCCGACAAGTACGAAATGGTCTATAGTGCTTTTATCTAACAAAATAGTTGATGAAAAAATTGAAGATCAAGGTGATATTGGTGTTGGCATTGAATCTTGTACAAGAAACGATCAAAATGAGAATGAATCTTGTATTAGAAATGATCATAATGAGGGTATTTGGATCAATCCAACCGTCCGCATTGTTAAGAGACGCGTAGTACACAATCCTACCAAGAAAAGAAAGAGACGTTAGTGATAAAGTAATGGTCTCGATAACCTTCACTCGCTTATGTTTAGTAATGGTCTCATTTTTATATTTTTTAATTATTATATTTAGTAATCTGGCATCGAATATGTGAAAATCTTACAATTTGTACTTTAAAACAATTTGACTAAAAATTAAGATTTATTAAATGAACATGCTTTTAATATTGATAGAGTATGCATCCCCTCATCTTTGCCTAAAAGAAATATCATGAAAAAGTAATATTGATTGTATCACATGCTTTTATTTTATTAATATCTTCACGTTGAACAATTAATAATGGATTGATTTTTTTTCTTCTTATAATAACTTCTATGTTGTAATTTTTTGAAATGTTTCTCATATAAAGTTAGTGTTAATAGTGTACTAATGTGCTTTAGTTTGTTTGATACAGGTTCAATGGCTCCAGATAGAGATGCTCCACCTGAAAACCCACCTGAAAACTCACAAGAAAACTCACAAGAAAGAGTTGCTTCGGATACAAATGCTCCACCTGATACTGAAGCAAAAGAGGTTGCACGAGGCATCACTATTATGAAGGGAATCATTCGACATAGAGAC